TCCGGACGTTGCCTTGTTAAACAGGGTTGTTTTGGCTATCCTGGGTCTTTTGTTTTTCCATACAAAATTGATTATTGTTCTTTCAAGGTCTGTGAAGAATTGTGCTGGGATTTTAATGGAGATTGCATTGAATCTGTAGATTGCTTTTGGTAGGATTGCCATTTTTACTACATTGACCTACCTATCCAAGAGAATGGGAGATCTTTCCATTTTCTGAGGGCTTCTTTAATTTCTTTCTTTAAAGATTTTCTTGCAATACAGGTCTTTCACTTGTTGGTTAGCGTTACCCCAAGGTATTTAATGATGTTTGTGGCAATTGTAAAGGGTGATGTTTCTCTGATTTCTTTCTCAGCCCTTTTATCATCTGTATATAGTTGAGCTACTGATTTTCTTGAGTTGATCTTGTAGCCTGCCACTTTGCTGAAGGTGTTAATCAGCTGTAAGAGTTCCCTGGTAGAGTTCTTTGGGTCATTGATGTAAACTAACATATCATCTGCAAACAGTGAAAGTTTGACCTCTTCCTTTCCATTTTGTATCCCCTTAATCCCTTTTGTTGTCATATGGCAATGGCTAGAACTTCAAGTACAATGTTGAAAAGGTATGGAGAGAGTGGACAGCCTTGTTTTGTTCCTGATTTTAGAGGAATTGCATTGAGTTTCTGTCCATTTAGTTTGATGTTGGCTGTTGGTTTCCTGTATATAGCTTTTATTACGTTTAAGTATGTTCCTGTTATCCCAGATCTCTCCAAGACCTTTATCATGAAGGGGTGTTGGATTTGTCAAAGGCTTTTTCAGCATCTAGTGAGATGATCATGTAATTTTTGTTTTTCAGCTTGTTTATATGGTGGATTACATTGATGGATTTTTTGTATGTTGAACCATCCCTGCATCCCTGGGATGAAACCTACTTGATCGTGGTGAATGATTGTTTTGATGTGTTCTTGGATCCGATTTGCCAGTATTTTATTGAGTATTTTTGCATCAATGTTCATGAGGGATATTGGTCTGAAGTTCTTTCTTAGTTGTATCTTTGTGTGGCTTGGTGATCAAGGTTATTGAAGCCTCATAGAAAGAGTTTGGCAAAGACCCTTTTACTTCTATTGTGTGGAATACTTTGAGAAGAATTGGTATAAGCTGTTCTTTGAATTTCTGGTAGAATTCTGCACTGAGGCCATCTGGACCTGGACTTTTTTTGGTTGGGAGACTTTTGATGACTGCTTCTATTTCCATAGGGGTTATAGGTCTATTCAAATTGCTTATCTGTTCTTGATTTAGTTTTGGCAAGTGATAGCTATCCAGGAAGTCATCCATTTCCTTTAAATTTTCGAATTTTGTGGAGTAGAGGTTTTCAAAGTATGACCTGATGAATCTCTGGATTTTCTCAGAGTCCGTTGTTATGTCCCCCTTTTCATTTCTGATTTTGTTAATTTGCATGTTCACTCTCTGCTGTTTGGTAATTTTGGACAAAGGTTTGTCTATCTTGTTGATTTTCTCAAAGAACCAACTCTTCATTGCATTGATTCTTTGTATTGTTTTCCTAGTTTCTACTTTATTGATTTCAGCCCTCAACTTGTTTATTTCCTGGCATCTACTCCTCCTGGGGGAGTTTGCTTCTTTGTGTTCTAGAGCTTTCAGCTGTGCTGTTAATTCTCTAGTATAAGTGTTCTCCAGTTTCTTCATGTGGGCACTTAGTGCTATGAACTTCCCCCGTAGCACTGCTTTCAAAGTGTCCCATAGGTTTGGGTATGTTGTGTCTTCATTCTCGTTGAATTCGAAGAAGTCTTTAATTTCTTTTTTTATTTCTTCTTTGACCCAGTGATGGTGTAGTTGAGCATTATTCAATTTCCATGAGTTTGTAGGTTTTCTGCAATTTGTGTTGTTGTTGAATTCTAATTTTAAAGCATGGTGGTCTGATAAGATGCATGGAGTTATTCCAATTTTTTTGTAGCTGCTGTGGTTTGATATGTTGCCAAGTATGTGGTTGATTTTTGAGAAGGTTCCATGTGTTGGTGAGAAGAAGGTATATTCTTTTTTATGTGGATGAAATATTCTATAGATGTCTGTTAATCCCAGTTGGGTCATTACTTCTATTAGACCCTTTGCTTCTTTGTTGAGTTTCAGTTGGTATTCCTGTCTAGTGGTGAGAGTGGTGTGTTGAAATCTCCCACTATAACTGTATGGGGCTTTAGATGCGATTTAAGTTCTAATAATGTTTCTTTTACGAATGTGGATGCCTTTGTATTTGGGGCATAGATGTTCAGGATAGACAGTTCATCTTGGTGGGTTTCACCTGTGATGAGTATGTAATGACCTCCTTCATCTCTTTTGATTGATTTTATTTTAAAGTCTAGTTTGTTAGATATTAGGATTGCTACCCCTGCTTGTTTCTTGGATCCATTTGATTGAAAAAATTTTCCCAACCTTTAACTCTCAGGTAATGTCTGTCTTTGAGGGTGAGGTGTGTTTCTTGTATGCAGCAGAAGGAAGGGTTTGGTCATCGAATCCATTCAGCTAGCCTGTGTCTTTTTATGGGTGAGTTAAGGCCATTAATGTTGAGGGATATTAATGACCATTGATTGCTCATTCTTCTTCGATTTGCAATGTTTGTTGTTGGTGGAATTATGTGTGGAATTTCACCCCTGTGTTCTTTTGGCTGTTGGTAGAGAGGGATTCTCTAATGCCTATGTTTTTCTGGTTGTAGTTAACTTCCTCTGGTTGGAGTTTTCCTTCCAAAACTTTCTGTAGGGCTGGGTTAGTGGATACGTATTGCTTGAATCTAGTTTTGTCATGGAATATCTTCTTTTCTCCATCTATAGTGATTGAGAGCTTTGCCGGGTATTGTAGTCTGGGCTGACATCCATGGTCTCTTAGTGTTGGTAGAATATCTATCCCGGACCTTCTGGTTTTCTTGGTTTCCATGGAGAGAGAAGTCAGGTGTAATTCTGATAGGTCTGCCTTTATATGTTACTTGGCCTTTTTACTTAGCTGCTCTTAATATTCTTTCTTTATTCTGTATATTTGGGGTCTTGATTATTATGTGGCGAGGGGACTGTTTTTGTGATCCACTCTATTTGGTGTTCTGTAAGCTTCTTGTACCTTCATTGGCATGTCTTTCTTATGGTTGGGAAAGTTTTCTTCTGTGATTTTGTTGAATATGTTTTCTGCCCCTTTGGGGTGGTTTTCTTCTCCTTCTTCTATACCTATTATTCTTAGGTTTGGTCTTTTCATGGTGTCCCATATTTCCAGGATGTTTTGTGTTAAGGATTTGTTGGACTTAAGATTTTCTTTGGTTGATGAATCCGTTTCTCCTAGTGTATCTTCAACACCTGAGATTCTCTCTTCCATCTTGTATTCTGTTGGTAATGCTTGTATCGGTAGTACCTGGCCGTTTGCCTAGCTTTTCTATTTCCAGCCTTTCTTCAGATTGTGTTTTATTTATTGTCTCTATTTTAGTTTTCAACTGTTGCACAGTTTGCATTGTTTCTTGCAATATTCGGTTTATCTTTTTGTCCATTTTTTGTATTTCTTGAATTTTTTGGTTTGCTTTTTCTTCCATTTCTTGCATTTTTTGATTAGCTTTTTATTCCATTTCTTGCATTTTTTTGGTTTGTCTTTTCTTCCAGTTCTTGTATTTTTTGGTTTGTTTTTTCTTCCATTTCCTGCCTTTTTTGTTTTGTTTTTTCTTCTATTTCTTGCATTTTTGGTTTGTTTTTTCTTCCATTTCTTGCATTTTTTGGTTTGTATTTTCTTCCATTTCTTTGAGGGATTTTCCTATATCCTCTTCTAGGGCCTCTATCATTTTCATGAAAGTGGTTTTAAGGTCATTCTCTTCATTTGCATTGGAATGTTGGAGTCTTGCTGGTATGGAGTCTCTAGAATCCGGTGGTGTCATATTTTTCTGTTGCTGAGTGTGTTTTTGTATTGTCTCTTTCCCATCCCTTCTACTAGTGGATGCAGAAAGAGCCCCTTACTGCTCTGGTGGTTAGGGGACCAGAGTTCCTTTTTGGTGGGTGCTAGAAAGTCCAATAATCTGGTAGTTCTTCTATTCCTCATCCTCGTTCTGGTCCCATGGGTGGAGAAGAAGACCAGGAATCTGGGGTGCTTGGCCTCCCACCTGGTCCCCTGGTCCCTTTGCTGGATCTGCTGGTTTCCTGGTCTTGTTAGTGGAAGAGAAGACTTAGAATCTGGGGTGCTTGGCTCCCGCCAGGATTGAAAGCTCTGTGCAGTTCCCAGGCAATCCCCAGGCACTGGAACACAGGCCTGGATGCAGGGCCTGTTTTACCTGGTCCTGCTGGAACAGCTGGTCCCCTGGTCTCCTGGATCTTTTGGTTCCCTGGTCTTGTTAGTGGAAGAGAAGTCCTGGAGTCTGGGGTGCTTGGCTCCTGCCAGGATTGGAAGCTCCGTGCAGTTCCCAGGCAATCCCCAGGCACTGGAACACAGGCCCAAATGCAGGGCCTGTTTTACCTAGTCCTGCTGCAACAGCTGGTCCCAACCATGTACTTGTTAAAGGCAGAATCACATAATGTATGTGTCCTACTAAGCCAAGGTTTCTGAATTCTACACACAAAGAAAAAGCCTCCTTGATATTTGTAAAGAACTCAGTGTAGTTGTGTGCCTAATTACCAGAGGCTTGTTTGTATGTTAAGTGTGTTTGTGTCCACAAATATGCAATCTTTCAATGCAAAGCTTAGAGAGAGTAGTTTCCAAGTTAATCTCTTCCAAATTGAATGTTTAGATTGACAGTCATTTTTATGGCTCATTTTTATGTGCTCATAAAAGAGAAGTATTTTTAAAATAAAAAGAAAAGAAAAGGAGGAGAAGATGAAGCTTAGTGGTAGATCAATGACCTGGAGTTCTTGTGCCCTAGGTTCAATCCCCACTGCCTTTCCCATTAATTGAGTAACTCCCTTAAGTATATATTGTTTTCTTGTTCCTGTTGTTATGAATTATTATAAACAGTAGTTTAAAACAATACAAATTATTCTCTTACATACCTATAAATTTCACTCAAAAATTTATATTTTTATTAATTCTTGGAGAATTTAACACAATATATTTTGTTCACATTCTCTACTCCCAATAGCCCTCATGTCCAACTTCTCCATCCTCACTTCTTAACCCACCCACTTAGATTTCCTCTTCCTCTTCCTGCTCCTGTTCCTCTTCCTTCTAGTTCTTCTTTTTTCCCATTCAGTCTAGTTTGTGTTGCCTAACTACTCCTGGGAGTAGGGCCTGCACTGAGTGTGGTAGATCTAGTAGGGATCATATCTCTCCCTCTCCCAGAAGTTATCAGAAATTAATGGCTTCTCACCTAACAATGAGATTTTTGTGCCCAACTCCCACCTCTATGCTGTAGTTTTGTCTACAAGACTTATACTTATTCCAGCTCCTGGAATGTTTATTCTTACCATGAGTAAACTAGGTTTTTACTTGATTAATGAATGTTCTTATAAACTGTTCCCACCACCCAAGCATTCTTGTTTCTATTTAACTTTATTTTCATTTTCCAAGCTTAAATGTCTGTCCTTGCCTTGATATATTAAAGTTAAAGGCATTCTTCCAAATCTCTTCAAGATAACTTAGTATTCAGCTTCAGTCCAGGTTTGGCAGTAGACATAGAGTTGTTAGTTCTTCACAACACAGCCTCCAAATGGCAGTGCTGATGGCAATATTTTAGGGAGATGGTCAAGGTCTCAGTAGGGTCTGACTTTGCTATGAGACTGTTTTCCTGAGAAACCTGAAGCATTTCTGGGAGAGAAACCAGAAAACTCTCCCTCACATGCAGATAATGATCTATAATGTACACATGTATAGACGTAAATAGGCATGTAAATGCAGGTAATGTTTTAAGAAAGAACCTCTAGAAAAACACTTGGGTTAACCCTGGAAATAACCTGAAAAACCAACAAATGAGATAACATGAAATTAAAACATTTTTGCTTTGAAAAGAAAATAAACACCAGAATGAAAGACAACCCACAGAATTGAGAAAAGTCTTCTTGTCAGAGATACTTCATATATATGATTTATATTGATGATATATAGGAAAATTACAAAATTAAGTACCTCAAACTCCAAATTTTCAAGTGTTAAATAAGATAATGAACCTAAAAGACAGATCTCACATGCTGAAATAATCAATTAAAATCATATTATTGATATTCATATGTATATATAATATGCTTTGATCAGACCCAGTCCACCATTCTCTCCTCTCCAATTCCTCAACCCCTTTTTACTTTTCCTCTTGCCTTCATGTATTGACTTATTTTTAATATAATAACAATATAAATAAATATAAATAAAAAATTGGTGTATTTTTTAAGACAGAGTCCATTTAGTTCTGACTTTATATGCACTGATGTGGGACCATGGGTGCCCTCTCAGAGCTCACAAAGCTGACAAAAAGTGACTCTCCCACAGCAGCCACCAAGTTCTAATAGCTTCTCTAAGGAAGTAGGATGTCACCAGCCCCTACTCGTCTACACTGAGAGTTTGACCGGCTTGATTTTGTCAAGGGCTGGCACATGTAGTCCCAGCAATTGTGACTTCATATGTGCAAATGCACTGTTGTATCCACCAAATACTGTGACACTTCAGCCTTCTCTGGCTCTTACAGTACCTTTTTCACTCCTTTCACAATATTCCTGAGCCTTATGGGCAGGAGGTGAATATAAATGCACCATTTAGAAATGAGCACTTCTCATTCTTTCATTCACTGCATATTGACTGTTTCTGGGTCTCCAAATTAATATCTATCAACTAGAATCTTCTCTGTTGAGGGTGAGAGATGTATTAATATATTAGTACAAATATAAGAGGTCCTGGATCAGTTTATTACTGTGTCTATTAAGCAGACCAAATACTGACCAAAACTAACTAAGGGAAAAATAATTTATTTGGCTTATAATTCCTGATTACATTGCATCACTATGTGTACTAAGGTGAGGTAGCTGGACAGAAACAGGATATAAGCAGGGAGAAACAGGAACTCATGCTCTTGTCTGCTAAGTCACTAAAGAGGTAACGTGTGGCGGTGGCTTTCTCCTTCTCTCTGATCTCTCAGCATTTTTCTCTATATGACTCCAGGTTTTTTTATTATGTAGACCAGTTAAAACTCCATTTACAAAAAGTAAATGTTGTAGACAAGATAGCATCTTCAACAAATGGTGCTAGTCATAGCTCCATATAGAAGAATGAAACTAACTAATTATCTCACCCCTGCACAAAACTCAGTCATACATGGTTCAAGAACCTCAGCATAAATTCTATGTCCTAATTTCTTCTCTCTTGCTGTGATAAAACACTGAATGAAATCAGCCTGGAGAGTAACTAAATTGTCTTTTGATTTCTGCTCATAGTCCATCACTGAGCAAATTAAGCAGGAGCCTAGAGGAAAGAACCATGGAGCACTGCTGCTAATTGACTTGCTAATTTTGTGTTCTTATACAACCTAGAGTTACCCGTCCAGGTGTGGCAAAGGTAACCATGGGGTTGGCATTTCTATATCAATCATTATTCAAGAAACTGCCCCACAAAAACACACCCATAGGTCAATCTGATAGAGATAATTCCCAAATTGAGATTCCTTCCTCCAATAAGACCCAAGTTTGTGTCAAGTAGATGATAGTTAACCAGTAGAATCTGATACTCTGAATCTAATAGAGGAGAAAGTAGGAAATACTATTCAACTTATAGGCACAAGACAGAACTTTCTGAACAAGGACTCTGTTGTCATACACATTAAGACCAAAATTGTCAAATGAGACCATATAAGACTAAAAAGTTTCTATATAGCAAAGAATACCATCATGATGGTAAAGAAGAAGAATGGGGGAAATCTTTACAAGATATACTTCTGGCAGAGGATTTCTATCTAGAATATATAAAGCACTTAAAAACTGAACACCAAGAAAACAACCCCAGCATAAATGGGACATGGAACAAAACAGAGTTCTCAGAAGAAAAAATGCAAATAACCATTAAAATGTTCAGTATCCTTAACCATCAGGAAAATGCAAAATAAAACTACTTTGGATTTCACTGTAAAATAACCAAAATGGCCAATTTCAAAAATACAAATCACAAAAAATGCTGGTGAGAATTTGGGAAACAACACTTTTTTGTTATGAATGGGAGGACAAACTTTTGGAGTCACTATAGGAATTAATGTGAATCTTCCTCAAAACAATAGAAACAAATATATCACATGATCCTAAGATGTTGGAGATGTCCGAGACATGAGGCATACAGAGAGTAGAAATGGCATAAGTGTGATCTATTTTTATATGCAGTAGAGTCAGAGGGCTGGAGTCAAGAAATTCCTTTGAGACTGAAGCTTCATACACCAGAGTCAGAGTTGCAAGATTTGGTGTTTTTCCCTTACGGGTTTCTGTCTTGCTTTCCTCTACTTTTTCCTCACTATAACCCCCTCATACCTCATTTTGAACATACATTCTGTGTCACTGTTGGATATATATAGTTCTTTAATAAATTTTTATTTATTTTTATTATTGTTCATTGGGGATAAAGTTAAGAGTTTTTCTGAAGACTCGGAATTTACTTAGACTTTGTAGTTTAATCAATGTTAAGACTATTAAATACTATGGGAATTTTAGGGTTGAACTAAATGGGTTTTACATTATTTATGACATAGCCATAAGCTTCTAGGATCAGTTGTAGAAAACTGTGATTTGAATGAGAAATGTCCAATAGACTTATGTATTTGAACATTTGGTACCTACTTGGTGCCACTGTTTGGGAGAGATGTGAAAATTCTAAGTCATACCACATTTCTTATCAACCTATGATGTACCTTTGCTGTAGGAAGGATAGCACTGGAGTCAGGCTTGAGAGTTCATAACCCCATTGGCTCACAGTTTGCTTTTGTTTCCTGTGTGCAGTTGAGATGTGATCTCTCAGCTTCTTGCTCCTGCTTTTAGTTTCTGTGCTCCCCCATTGTGATGAAACTTAGACTTCTGGAACCTTGGCCAAAACAATCATTTTCTCCTGCAAGCAGTTTTTGGTTGTGGTATTTTTATCCCAAGAGCAGGAAATTAACCTCATACAGTTAGGTAACACTACACATCACTGGAACAAAATCAACTCAGATTTCCAGCTCAGTTTGAGTTCAGAGTATGGGAAATTACACAGGCTAGAACTTGAGACAGATGGTCTTACCTCAACACTGGTCAACAAACAGAGAACAATGAATGGTCAGTGCTCAGGTAGCTTTCGGGAAGGTCTTCCCACTTCCATTAATCTATTCTTTAACATCTTCTCTAGGCATAGACTAAATTATTAAAAAAACAGATTTCACTAATGACCTGGAGTCTTGTCTCCTAGGTGATTCTAGATCAAGTCAAACTGAGAATCATTGTTAAACATCAGTCTTGATTACATGATAACAATAATGTAATTCTAGGAATGATTCCTTCTCAGGCCTACATGCAACACCAGATTTTTTATTTTTATACTCTTTATTTTGTTGAAAATCTTGTTCATGCACTGTATTACTTTTTCTAACTTCCCCAATTTTTGCAGGTCCTCACCATCTCCCTAGCCACACAATTTTTAATTTTTTCTCTCCTCAAACAAGCAATAAAAAACAGAAAAATAAGAAATACATGAGAACCACAACAGCCCCAATCCAAAAAATAAAAATCAAAATAAACAAGTCAAAACCTTAACATACTTAGTACATCATGTATAAAACAGGATATATCAGGTCTGAGAGAAATGAAGTCGTTTTAGCAGAAAATCTTCAAATCTTGAAATACTAACTGTTTTATTGTTATTCATTCAGTTTATTTATTTTTTACTTATTCAATTCATTGAATTTAGAAGCATGAAGATATGATGTAAATTGATAAGAGACTTGCTTTGGATAATTTGAAACTATAATGGGTAGTGTTTTATTTGTAAATAGTATTTTTCAGGTCATCAAGTACTTCTTGTTTTGTGATTTTGGTCCATGAAACTGGAATAGTACCCCACTTTTTAAATTTTTTTCCATATTTCTCTTCTAGCTCTGATTTGAAGCGACAGATAAACCACTTCCAATATGGCTGAGTAAATGAGTCTGGGGTGATACTCCATGTGGCAAAATTACCTCCTGCTTCTCGATATTTCTTGTACGGGAATTTCTGGAATTCATCTAAAATAAATGAACGATCACTTGCTACAGAAGTCGTACAGCACCCAGTGACAAAGTAGTCTGTTTTATGCTTATGCCATCCGTTGACAGCCTGAGGACGGTGGAATGGCACACTGTGGTCTCCTTCATGCTGGAGAATGGTGTTTGTACAAATTGCATTACACAAAGGACACTGTTTCCAGCAGCCACAGAGATGTTCAGAGAGAATTTTCTCAATTTCAGGAACCATTTCATCTATGGGCCTTCCTGAGCAGTCCTCTTCTACTTTCCTCATTTCAGGATCCAAAGCTGCACTCATGGCTTCTTTGAGAAAATCACTATCCTTTATCTCCTGGTGCTCGATGCTTATCAGGTCTCTTCTTGGAAAGATCAGGTTGCTCCCTAGGTGATCACAGAACAAATCCAACCAGCCAGAAACAGTTCCGGCTTTATCTTTATCTTCTGCTGTGGACTCATGAATGGCAATGAGGATTGCATTCTTGATGTCACTTAAACTTATTTTTAAAGAGGTCTTTATTTTTTCACCTTCTTCTTCTGAACAGTATCTTCTAATGTGTCCACTAATGAAATCCCTGAAAAAGGATTCTGGGTGATGAATGTATTGCCAATACTTATCAAAGTTTTCTTCTTCAGCTAGAGAATGGAGAATATGATTCTCCAGGTTAGCCCTATTTCCACTGAATGCAGGGCAGGTAGCACGCATGTCCCCAGCTACTTTAGGACCCCTTATTTCCGATATGTTGGCAGAGATAGCAGGAGTGAGCTTGAGCCACAGGAAGTCGACAAAGGATGTGATGGAGGTGGCCCCTTGGCAGGAGATCTTAAAACTCAAGAAGAAATGATCTTTCTTTCTCTCCAGATAGCTCAGTGGATCATTTGCTCTCTTGAATGCCTTGTGCATTTCCTTGAAACTCTTAGATGCTCTTTGGAATAAGCATAAGGATAAGTCAATGGTGTAGTCTCTGGTAAATGTATAGTCTTCCTCTGGGGGAACAGATTTCAGTTCATTTTCTATTATCCTCAGGATTTCATGAAAATCATTCTGATTGTAATCACGCTTTTGCTTCCAAATGTTTTTTATTATTTCATTATTTCTTGAATAAATGTTATTAGTGGTCCTATTAATGGACTCCTGATGACAGGTTTCTAAATTCTTTGAAAATACCATATATATTTTTTTCATTTGGACATGTTTGGAATAATTGATTTCAAACATGTCTCCTGATTTCACTTTGAGTCTTTCCACAATATTTTTCTCTTTCTTGAAGTACTCCAGAAGGATATTTTCAGAATCCAAATCAATGTGAGGCTCCTTGACAGGAGGTACAGTCAAAGACATACTGTCGATACAATTTGTCCAAAGTTGATTGAATTTCTCATGCAACTTTTCATCATTTAATTCTTTACCTTTCACACTTAAAGCCAACTTTCGGCTCCTCTCTAAAAATTCATTTTCATATTGTGACATTTGGTTATCTAGTCTTTCTTGGTTTTGTTTAAGACTGATGAGTTCATTGCCTTTACTTCTGGTGTCTGAAATAAGTGCATCTTTAAGAATTAGTAGTTTATGTTCAAAATTTGCTTTCCATTGAACCAATGTTTCACTGTCTTGGTCTTCTTCAAAATACTTGTCAAATTCTTGCTTGATGGTTTCATATTTCTTGTTAACTGGACTCTCCAGGGCATTAGTTGTGAGTGTGAAGATTTTCCCATTCTGAATCTGATTGTTCGGCTGATTCTGTAATTCCAGCACATGACTCCTCAGCTCCCAGGTCCAGTGGTTATACTTGGTTTCCAGTTTACTCATGGCTATGACCTCTTTGGTGTTCCTGAAACTGAAAATGAAGTTCTCACTGACCAGGGCTTTCCACAAATCTTGAACTCGAAATTTTACATCTGAGATCTTCATGATCCTTCCCCTGGATTCCTGCTGGACAGTCCTAAGAATCCCAGTTTTTAACTCCTGGACATTGTGGCTATAGTGAGGATTAGGGGGGGCCATTGGGGGATTGCCATCCCAGAGGTGTGCAAAGTAATAGACATGTGTTAAGAGAAGCTTTTTCTTTGCTAGCTGCTTTGGTTTATCCCCCGCCAGTCGCCTGGGCTCTGCCGAGCCAGCCTGGTTCTAGATCCGCATCAGTCCCAAATAAACACACAGGAGGCTACATTCATTATGAAGCTGTTGGCCTTGCTTGTCTCTTACTGGCTAGCTCTGCTTTAAGTAATTACCCCATAATTGTTAATCTAAGTATGTCTCTTACCGGAGAATAGTTCCAGGCTTCCTACCCCCAATGGCGTTACATGTTGACTCTCCTGTGTTTCTCCTACCCAGAATCCTCCTGGATTCCTAGCTCCTCCTATCTAGGTTTTCTATTGGCCAGACAGTACTTTATTGACAAATGCACAGACAAATAACAGGACTTCCCCAACAGACATGAGTACTGGCATCAAATTTAATGACATCGCTGAAGCATCTTATATTTGAGCACTCTTCCTGTTCAGCAGCTAATGCAGTCATTTCATCCAGTCTCTGCTCCAGTCTCCTTCGTCCTTCCATTGTTTGGTCTTTTGCTGTAACTTCTCCTACATTCTGATGGACAAACAGGCAACTGGGAGAGATTTTCACTTGTTTCATTCTCAGAAAGGCCTGGACAGATATCTGTAGGATATCCTGCATCTCTGATGGATTCTCCCCAAAGATATTGATGAGAGTCAAGTTTCCAAGGCCAATGACAAATGTTGCCAACTCATTGTCCCGATTCTGGCATTTGCCTTTGAGTTCTGGAGCCCGAAGTCCTTCTGTATCTAGTGTTAGCATATAATCAAAGCCAAGTTCTTTTGTGAGTGTCTCATCTACCTTCAGAAGCTGCATATATACCCCCCTGGTGCAACGACCCACACTGACAGTAAACTGTAACCCAAATAGGGCATTCAGCAGTGTGGACTTCCCTGAGCTCTGCAGACCAAGAATGGAGAGAACAAACAGCCTTTTGTCACCAAGTTTCTCTGTGATCTTGTCAAAAACTGCTGTCACCCATTTTAGAGGCACATATGAGGCATCCCCATCCATCAGCTCAATGGGAACACCAGATATCATCAGGTCTGCAGCAATCTGAGGGAGAGAGAGAAAACTTTTATCTCTAGCAGCAGAAGTTTCTTCCAGAGCTTCATAGATCTGACCAACTTCTCGTAGAAGGTGCTCAATTCCAAAAGTACAGTCATGAATCTCCATGGAGATGGCTTCTATCTGATTCTGCCAGAGTGTCAGGGAGTTGCTTTCATATTTCTTATGTTTTTCTGTTTGTACCATTGACCACAATAATCTTTGCTTCTGCTGTAATTTTTCCAAATGTCCTTTGGTCAAATTGTGTAAAAAAAGACTCAACTAGTATAAGATGTAATGATTAGAAGCAGCTTCCTTGTGTTCTTGAATTATTTTAAGGAAAGAATGCATTACATCATTGAGAGGAAAGGCTTTCTCTAATTGTTGATAACGAAGTTTTTGTTTCTGAGTATTTATGTCACTTTTATGCTGCTCAATGCTCCGATTTCCCTTTTCTCTCAGATGATAGAGTTCTTTGTCCTTCTTACACCAAGTATGCCAGAGTTGTCCCTGAAGAGGTAATAAGTTTTCCTTTATCTTTGATAATGTCTGTTTTGCCAGTAGGGCCATTATAATCTCAGCCTTTTCTTTGGCATCCTTGCAGCCTCTCTGGTCTTCATCAACCAGGAATCCTTGTCTTCCAGCTGTATGTGAACAGTCTTCTATGCTTAGAGAAGTGTCAGACAGTTCTAGTAAATGTTTAATGGCATTTGTGAGTTCCTCAGTTAACTCTGCTTCGTTTCTATTCCTGATACCAATTCTCACTCTTCTACCAGAATTATTAGCCAAGACATGTTTTTTATCATCCAGCAAGCACACTAGAGGTATTGATGACTGACACAAGTGTCTGACAAGATTCTGGTTTTCTTTATTGTCCTCAGAAGCTGACATAAGGATCACGATGAGGGAAGAGATATCCTTCAGGAAGCTGAGTTGTTGCCTATGTTCTTTGGCATCCCCATGAAGATTGGTGAAGGCCACACACTTATCAAATGTGTCCTCACCTTGGCCCCCAGGACAGAACCAGGAGATCTCCACTACTCCTTCCATAAGGAGACAGTGTTTGCTGCTTCCTCTACAGTGTCTATGAAAAAACACATCATGTTTGCGTTTACTGAGGAGAGAGTTCATAATCTGAGATTTGGAAGCAGAGAGGCCATTTCCAACCCTAATGAAGGACACAATGGGGGTAGAGACACAACACATCTGCTGATTCTGGTGACTGTAGCTCTTGTTCTGTGGTGATCTACTTGCCTCTTGCCAACTTCTCCGAACTTGTCTGAGAGACCAGAGAGAAAACTCAATCTGAGAAGTGTTGGGATTTGGCACCACAAGGGGGAGTGCAAATTGACAAATGGAAAGTTTGGACAAAATATATTGCCTGGCAAGATCATCTGCACAGTGACAAATGGCCATCTGGATGTCCATTGGGTGAATGTGCAGCTGGGACATTTTGGCTGATGATTTGGAGATATCTTCACTTTCTTCAAATAACTCTGCATATGGATCAAAACCTCATTAACCTGGTTATATGAACATTCAGAGACCTGGTATTCTGTTTTTCCATCATCTTTGACAGTCAGCTGTCTCAACCTGCAATCCAACATCAGTAGTTTTTGCAGGAAATAGAAAGGAAGTTCCTGTTCACATCTTGGCTGGGATTTGTGTACAGAGTTCTTGTAGATCAGATGGAAATTAGCTCTGCTCATCTTTTTTGGATAGTGATGATCCAGGCCTAGACGTTGGAGTAAGTGTGTGAAAGGTTCTTGTCCATCACTCTCTTTTTGCTGTTTTCAATGCTTAGTTGTTTGTAAGACTCTTTAATTTCGTTACGGAGACTTTTCAACTTTTTTTTCACTATGTCCATATGCAAAGAAGCATTAGTGGCTATGTAGTCCCCAGAAACAAGTAATCTCAAATCATTCTCAAGATTTTCCCAATCAGGATGTGCTCTATGTTTCATGACAATGCTTACAACTTCTTCAGACAAGAGTTGTCCTATATGTTGTCTTAATAATGCCAAACGTTGCCTTTTCTTACCTATAGAAATATCTGTGGTTCCAACTGTGGCTGTCAGTGCTGTTAGGACCAGAAATGCCTGGGCTCTGTAACTACAAATATTTTTGAGCTGCTGGTATTTATGTTGAACTGTTTGTATTTCACCCAGGAGGAAATTTAACTCAGCACACCCCAGGAAAGACTGAAAAACATTGCTTTCCAGCTGATAGCCTGCACCAGCTGCAATGTAGAGTAGTAGCAGCTGCATGTCTGGCTGCTCAGACTCTCTGAGGAAGCTCAAGAAGGAGCTCAGAGCTGTGGTCATGTCATATATAGCCTTTCTTTGAATCTCTTCCACTGTTTGTAAGGATTTATTTTTCATATTTACATCTACTAATTTTCTTTTAATTTCCTGTAATGTCTTAAGGAATTCAGAAAATGAGGTGATTGTGACTTTTTCTTCTGAATCTGACTGGTAGATACACTCTATGGGAGATGATGCCCTTAGGAAGTTGGACACTTTGTAGACATGGGGTTCTAGAAGTCTCCACACCTGAGCATTAATAAACTGAGTTAAATAAGTAGCTGCTTCTTTAAGGAAGTTGATTGTGCTAATTAGAAAATTCTGCAGCTGCCAATCTGTGAAAAACATATGAGTCCAAATGTCATAACTTTTAATTTTTTCACTCAATGATTTCGTGGAATCCATCAGTCTCTTAAGTTTCCCTTCATAATTAGAAACCTCTTGGAAATTCATATTTTTTTGAAAAAGTTTAATGTCTTGACCACTACGGTGGAAATATTCCTCATCCTGGATTTGAACAGCAAGGCCAGTCAGTACAGTGTAGTTGTCTTTCAGGCAGTTAGCCACATGAAGTGGCTCCTTAAAATCACTTTTGTGGCTATAGAGGATAATGTCCCAAATAGGTACCAACTGAAATTCCTGGTCAATGATTGACCCGGTTTTGTTGCTGGCAAGAAGGCCAGCTGTCCAGTGAACAATTCCATTTGTTTCTGCTGGCCCACCTATCTGGGCCACAGATAATTGGACACTTAATTGGAGTTTTGCATTAGTTGTATTCTGGCAGGATCTTACATAATGTGAGTGTGATGCTGCTGTCCTTCCAACAATGTCAATCCCAAAACCACTGGAGCTCCTTCTTATGTAACTCAGCAAAGCAGCTGCTGTCTCCTGCTTCACACAGTTCAGCTGGCCACTTCTGAAACTCTCTGAAATGGCCTTCCAGCAGTAGATTCCTCCAAGGTGCAGAGGGCCTTGATTAGCATGAGAGCCAAATCTGTTGAAGAAGTTTTCAGTCCTGTTCCTCAGTAAGAGGAATCTGTCTGGTCCATCAGTGTGTTCCAGTTGCTCTTCAATGATTTTCAGTTCCTTGAGAGTGGCAGTGGAGAGTTGCAGCTGATCAGTTCGAAAGTGGAAGGAGGCCAGGGCACATAGCTGAACTTGGTTGAACAGAAATAAGAATCCTCTGAATATGAGTGGTGAGTGTCCTTAGATTCTGAATATTTGCTTTGATCTATACCATCTTCCAGACAAAATCCCCAGCATCCACCCTTGGCTGATATCATTGCTCCAAATCCAAGCTTCTCCACAGTTTTAGTGAACATGGACTCTTCTTCAGAAGATGTGAATTCTTTTGTTTCTATTCTTTTTCCTTGCTCAGATCCAAAAAGGGAGAATTCTTTGGGGACCCTGAGTAGCTCCTCCCTCCTCGCTACCAGGTCCCTTTGCTTTCTTGTCTTATAAATTCCCTGAAGAGCCAACCCTCCAGATAACCATCTTACCAGCTCTCTATCTGAGAGATTTCCACTGTAGGGGAGTTTCTGCTCCACATCCTTGAGATGTCTCTCCATTGTTTCAGTGACGTCTTTTAGGGGCACTTCGGGTCCAGGCCAGTACTCTTCAGGGATCTCCATTGCTTGTCTCAGCTCTGCTTCTTTCCTCCTCACTGCCTCTTCCTGTCTGTGCTTCCCTTGTGACTGCAAGGCCCTCAGTTCCTGCAGTGCCTGTCCTGCCTGCCTCTGCCTGTTCTTTATCATCTGTCTTGGAGTCTCCTGGAAGTGTGCAACATTGTCTGGCTGTGAGAAGTCAAGCAGCTTGTCTAGGGCCTTTTTCTCCCATGTGTGTTGTGTCTGGGACTTCAGCTTCTGGAGGTCTTTTTTGTCTAAGTGTTGTAAGGCCTGGGCACAGGTCACACCCAGGTCTTTCTGAAGCTTAGGCAGCCAGTAGTCAGCAGACAGCCCCACTTCTGTCAGCACCTCCTGGAGATCTTGCTGTATTTTGAGTCTGGGCTGAGGTTTTTCAGGAAACTTATTTGCTGTGTTCATGGCTGTGTGAAGGATAGGCACTTAGTTAGTGTGTGTCTGATCCTTTGGAAGTTTTAGTTTCTTGGCTAATAGAATGAATGTTCCAAGTATTTAAGTCTGTAGGAACTTCTCATTCTTGCATTTAATTGTGCAGTTTGTATTTTCATTAGTATCTTTGTCACATTATTATCCACATTTGTACTAAACGTGGCTTACGTATCTAGTTGTTATTGTGAGGTGCAATGTAATAGACTGTTTTATAACACTTCCTCCTCCATAAACTCCAGGGTATGATAAGGATTAAAGCAATGGTTCAAATTCAAAAAAAAAAGTTAGTTAATTTTCATTTCCAAAAGAAGACTTTTTCCATCAGTTCTTTAGCTTTTCTATATTAGTTCTTGTGAAACTTATGTATACTCTTTCCATTCCTAATTTTGTCACTTCATCTTAAATCATTCAATATTGATTTTGCCTCTCATGCTCCCAAAGTCACATCTACCTTGGTTGATGATTGTTCATTTGTGGCTTCTCATTTTGCTCTTTGATATAGTATCTTTCTTCTAACACCTTCCAATGAACTGGTGCCAGCCACACACACACACACACACACACACACACACACACACACACACACACACACCTCAGGCTTTTTACCCACTACACAAATGAGGTTGTACTTGGTTCTCCTGTCCTATTCAGAGGCACCCTCATATTGTCTAACAATTATATTTATCTGTCTTCTACTTAATATAAATTTAGTACCCCATATGTCGGGACCCATAAAGATGGCTCCACTCCATCTTGACTAAAGGTCAGAGAGTTCAAAACTGTCCTTATACCTATAATCTATAGCTTGGCAGCTGCAGGATATTTTGGCCTTGATAGAGGATGTCTTTATCTAAACAACAGACTTGGGCTCAGGTGTGTTTACTCTTGACCCTGAAGGTGGCATGGCAGGTGTGACTACCAAATACCTGTAGGATTAAGGGAAGTAAGTCTGTTTACCCTTTATAGATGATAATAGAAGTCTTCTGCCATTGTCCTCACTCTTGGTTGGGTACTTAAGTATGTGAAAGAATAAGGTGGGGGTAAAATAGGGGGAAGAGGGAATCATAGGATCGAAGACAGATCAGGCACCAGAGTGACCTCGAGTGATCTAAAGGTATAACATCAATTGGCAAGCTAAGCAATAGTGGAAGGACCACCTCGAATGCCCATTCCTGATAATGAACTTGATGTCTATAACTATCCGGGAGCCTTCATCCTGGGACTGATGGAAGCAGAGGCAAACACACAACTAAGCACTGAACTGAACCCAAGGAACCCAGTGACAGAGAGAGAGGAGTGATGAGCAAATTGGCAAGGAATGGGCTGGCAAAACCAGCAGAGACGGCTGATCTGAACAGGGGAGTGCTCTTGGACCCCAGACCGACAGTGGGGAGGCCAGAATGGGACTGATCTGGACCCCCCCAAATGTGAGTGTCAGTGAGAAGGCCTGGGCAACCTATGGGGCTCTAAGCTGTGGATCAGTGTCTATCCCTGGTATACAATCTGTCTTCATGTGCCTATGGCACAAAGAGAGATGCTCTCTCAGCCTGGACTCTTAGGGGAGTGCCTTGACCCTACCAAGAGTGAAATGATAGACTCTAGACATCCCCTATGTGGAGGGATTTGGCAATAGGGTGGGAGGGAGGGTGGAAGGGGAGTGCGGGAGGAGGGGAGGGAGAGGGAACTGGGATTGACATGTGAAACAAGCTATTTAAAATTAAAATAAAAAATGATTAAAAAAAAAAAAAAAAAAAAGAATAAACTGACTCAGAGTTTAGACAGACTGAATGGCCCTCCTAACACTATTCCTGTCTCTTAACACCCATAGTTAGCCTTTCTTGGTTTATATTCCCCCTTTCAGGTAAGAACTGTGGGCAGGGCAGGTCTCCAATTACAGCCCCACAAACACAGCTGATGCACACCTGTGACTTTCAAATGACTTCTCTAATCTCTTTTTAACCTTGTTTTCTTGTTAGCCCTATGATTTCTTCCTTATATTTTCCCTTCATATGCATTATTATAATGGCTAAAACAGGCATCACATCTGATGTTTATTCCTTTTCTGTCCCCTTCAAGATTCATTTTAAAATCAATTATAATTCAGCATAACTAGGATGTGTATGTCATACTTGGTAAAGTTGCTTTATCCATATATTGTCCCTATATGTGCTGCTTTGGACATATTAAGGAGAGAAAGACCAGACAGAGAGTCTTCTACCAGTGTTTCCTAATTCTCCTCTCCATGAGAAGAGAATTCAGACATACGGGACAAACACTGAGCACCAAGCAAAGCAGGATTTGTCCTCAAAGTTATATAGTAGAGAGTGACTGGGAGCTCCTGAAGGAGGAGGAGTTAAATTATACAGGCTTTTAAATTGTGTGCTTTTTATCAATTCCACATGATACTGAGTGAGGTTATATATTTGATTGTAGGTTATTTTTGATTAGGGTGATTTAAATAAACCATTTATTTGTCATATCAAAATGTAACTTAGAATGGTAGGCATGTTTTTGGTTTAGTTTCCTTATGAGACTCAGTTTTGTGATTGCTGATCCCATGCCTAGAGATTGCATGCTTTAAGTTACATTTTGTCTCTTACTTCTCTCTGCTCACCAATAAATCCTTATCTCAAAAGATGAGACTAACATCATTATCAAATGATGAGTTCACCTGTATTTTGCCTCTTTAACCTTCTGTCTATGTGTGGTAAAGATGCAGGAAGGCTCACTCTAGGTTCCTGTGTATTAATCATAGATTTTCCGGTATCCAGAACTATAAGCTCAAGATTGTGGACATTGTAAAATTTAGTCTCAGGGAGCCTGTTATAGATCAAAATGAAGAAGATCAAAATTGTTGCAGGGAACTGAAGTGTTATGAGAAACACTTGATGATGTGGAAACAGCATGGTAAATAACTGTTGAAAATAAATTAGAAGAACTTGGGGGATCAAGCCCACATTACAACAAATAGAATGCTATGGGCAGTTTTGGTGAGGACCCTGACTAAGAAAAGAACTATGAGAATATCTGTAAGTTCTAGGAGATAAAGTGAGTTGTCTTGCTTCAAATATTGGTAGACAAATGTGTTCTGTATGCAGCCCTGTAAAACATCAAGTAGAAATGAGGAATGAGGTGTTGGAAGTCAGAGGTACGACCAATCTTATGAAGAGGTAAATAACATCACTCTATTGTCAGTATAGATGAATAGGACAAAACTCATACAAGAAAGATTAGATATAGTCTGCAATGAGCTAAGCATTAGAGCATGTGCTTACCATGCATGAAGGTCCAGGTTTAATCCCCATAATAAACAAAAATGAAAAAATATGAAATTGTTCTCTGAATTCACCAATATGGTGTTTTATATTAATCAATGATGACTGAGCTTTCAAAAATGGAAACACTTGGCCTAGTTTATAGCAGTGAATTATGTGAAGTATTTAAGAAGATATGATCCCAGATTTTAAATGATTTCTTTCTAAAAAATGAAACCATATCTTACTCCCTAATTGATTCTGAGGCCACCATTGCCTTGCTTCCAAATCCTGATTGAGATATTACAGAAAGAAAACAGAACTTCAGACAAAGATCCCTTATCTCTCAGAAACAATTGTTATTATATGAAATCCAACAATACATATAATAGAATATTAACCACGGCATACTGAAATTTTTCTAGATGTGGCAAACTGGCTTAGTAGTAACAATGAACAATGACGATGCACCATAATAGATCACTAAAGATGAAAACTGCATGACTATATCCATCAGAAAAAAGTCATTTTCACCACCTATGCCCTCAGCTTGAGGTGAGTAGGGGTTCTGCCCAGGCCCAACTCCCCCCATCCTTTTCCTGGAACTTCCTGTGACTGCTTGGCATGTAGTAAATCTGCCCTGGCAGGCCAAACCATCCAGAATCAGCCCACATTGCTGTCTTGGCCCCTCTATGCCCTCTGCTTGATTCTTGCCCCCCCCATGCCCTCTGTGTTAGGAGAACACCAGGAGGGGCCAGACCATCCAGAGTTGCTGACATTGAAGTCTTGGCCCACCGACACCCACCTGGAGACAAGAAGAGAGGAAGAGACCCCAACTACACCCACTGAAAGAAGGGATGGGAAGAAAACAGTATAAGAACATATTAGACAACAGAAAGACCAATATGATACCACCAGAATCTAGGGACTCTTTACCAACAAGAGCTGAACATCCCAATGCAGATGAAGCACAAAAGAAGGATCTTAGAAACAACTTTATGAAGATGATAGAGACCCTCAAAAAGGAAATGAGAAAATCCCTTAAAGAAATGGAAAATCAACAAATACAGGAAATGAGGAAAAGACAAACCAAAAATTCAAGAAATGAACAAATTTCTTAAAGAAAGTAAGAAAAACCAGCAGAGACAGCTAATCCGAACAGGGGAGAGCTCTTGGACCCCAGACCGACAGCTGGGAGGCCAGCATGGGACCAATCCAGACCCCCTGAATGTGAGAGTCAATGAGGAGGCCTGGGCTACCTATGGGGTCCTGAGCAGTGTTTATCCGTCGAATACTAACAGACATTGTGTATCCATAACACAAAGAGGGTTGCTTTCTCTGCCTGGACTCTTAGGGAAGTGCCTGGACCCTACCCTGAGTGAAATGATAGACTCTAGATATCCCCTATGTGGAAGGAATTGGCAATAAGGTGGGAGGATGGGGGGGATGGTGTGGGGATGCGGGAGGAGGTGAGGGAGAGGGAACTGGGATTGACATGTAAAACAAGCTATAAAATTAAAATAAAAATAAATAAAAAAGAAAGTAAGGAAAGCCAAGAACAAACAACCAAACAAGTGAAAGAAACAATTCAAACAGTTCAAGATTTGAAATCTGAAATAAAAACAATAAACACAGAATGAGGTAATGCTGGAAATAGAAAAGCTGGGTAAGCAATCAAGAAGTACATATGGGCTGGGCGGTGGTGGCACATGACTTTAATC